CGTGATCATCACCATAACTTTTCACCCCTCACTTCTTTAAAGGTCACCCACCTTGGCGAAGATAACCTCTTTGGACTGAAGTGTCTTCTGGAGAACAAGCTAATGCGTGAAAACTGGGCCTCCTTCCGAGCACCGGCCATCGGGTACCTCTTCTGCAATGACCAGTTCTCACAGCCCTCACCGAGCGAGTTGGCCCAACTTCCCTCCACCAGCTCCCTCTCCGACATCTCAACCCTCAGTCTGACCGGTCTGACCACCTCCTTCTTCTCCGCCCTGGCCAAGCTGAACATCGAGCCGCTGGCGTGCATCCGAAACATCGACTCATTGAACTGTACCTGTCCGGCGATTGGCGCCGGAAGCAGCTCAGTGGGCGGCGGTCGAAGTGGAAGTCGTGGCGGCGGCAGCAGCAGCAGCAGCCAGAGCGCCGTCGTCTCCAGTCGACCCTCTGACCGGCCACTTCCGGTCACCCTTTACCACAAGGTCGGCCACGGGACGCTGTACCTGTACGTGCTGTCGCCCACGCTGGAAGGCATCACCCGACCGCAGGCGCCGATGAGCGCGGCCAGTGAAGCAGCAGCCAGCAACTGCCCCTCGGCGACCATTCCCGAGGCGGACCAGCAGTCGATCTGCAGCCTGCTCGTCTGGCGACCGCACGACGCCGACGAGAAGATTGCGCGAATCTTCGTCCCCGGCAACGCCACCCAGGCGGACATTGTGGACGGCTTCGAGACGCTGCTCGCCATGGCGAAGGTCGACTCACGGGTGCGCTCCCGCTATGCGCCCAAACCGAGGAACGTCGACGGCTCGGAGACCGGGGGAGGTACTACCTCTGCCACTGTGGAATCAGTCGAGCTGGAGCTGCTCCTCGGCAAGCCGTACCCGGTGACCGGGGGCGACGTGGAGGCGGCGCTCCGGGAGCGGGAGGCAAGCAAGGCAGTCAAGTTTCGGCCCTCGGCGCCGGGCCTGCCGCTGCACGGCTACCGCCGCTCGGCAAGTGTCGCCCCCAAGGTGGTGGCCCGCAGGCAGCAGGTGGCCGGCGCCAGGGAGAGAGGCGGCGGCGGCGGCGGCGGTGGCAGAGGCGGAACAACAACCGCCGCCGGTGGTGCCGGAAGTCGTCAACGCTCGACGACGCCCTCGTCTCGATTCAGCCGCTTCCGGTCCGTCTCGCCGACGCCCCGAGTGGTCGTCGATCACGGGCTGCCTGGGACGGCTGGTCGACCGAAGGACGCTGCCTTTGGATCCGGTTTTGGCGCCCGCGGGGGCACCATTCACCAGCCTCAACCACAACCACAACCACCACAACCGCCAGCAGCGACTGCAGCCACCAAGCAGGCAGCAGTCACCTCTTCCTCCACTGGCCCTCGTAGCTATAGAGCACCTGATGAAACAAACAAAACCCAAACTACAAATTACCCGACTGGAGCGTCCGCTGGAGGCGGTGGTCGTCATCATCTGAAGGCAACCTCCTCCAAGGACACTACCACCTCCAGCCGACCCCCGTCTTCGGCTAGCGCCGGCGATAAAACTGCGGTTCCAGGGGCTACTGCCTCTAGGCCGCCACTTCCTGTGGTTGTTCACGCCAAACAGCCACCACATCAGCCAACATCAACTACAGCAGCAGCAACAGCAGCTAAAGCCACCACACCGGCAACTGCTGCTAAAGACGGTCGAGCCGTTTTGCCGGCAATTTCCAGCAGTGGCGGCGGCGGCGGAAAAACTCCTGCTGAGGCTCGACCTCCTCTTGCTCCTCCTTCACAAAACATCCCCACTGGATCATTGTCAATTCTAGAGCGTAAGCAGCAACTAATGCAAAGCGGAAAAGTGTTTAAATCAGCAAAGGAGTTCCGCAAGTCTAATGCTGAACAGGCTGCTAGTCTGAAGGAGAAGAAACAGGACGAGGCAGTAGTTGCTGCTGCTGCTGCTGCTGATGTTGACAGCGGCAAAAAAACTGCAGACCAGCAAAACGTGCCGCGGCCTGTTCCTCGAAAGGTCAAAAAGCCGATACCAACACCAACACCAACACCAGCGACAACAACAACAACTGAGGGTGAAGAGAAGAAAGTGGATGAATCGAGAAATGTCGAGGTCATTGCCGCTGCTGGAGTTGCCGTTGTCGGCGCGGCTGCAATTGCAGCTACAGGTATGGCTGTTGCAAATGAAAGTGCTACTGGTGAAAAGACTGCCGGAGAGTTGAAAGCAGAAAGCGAAACATCGCAGAACGAAGTGCTTCAAAAAGATTCAAATCAGATGACGGCATCAGTCATTAATGTCGATGAGCAGCAGGCTGACAAGGCTGACGCCACTGGCCTAAAGGTATTGGAGTACGAGGACGTGGAGGACGTCAGCATTCGCTCGGCCACTGATGAAGAGGTGCTGAAGATCACCACTCGAATTGAGGCGGAACAGGAAGCGGCGCTGGCGCAAGAGTCTGCCGGTGCTAAGGTTGCTGAAACAAGTGGTGGGGAACAAGTGTCAGTGTCAATGTCATCCTCGCCAGCTGTGGACAGTCAGGCGACTGGTCTTGAAGACGAGGACGAAGGCGAGGATGATGAAAGGGACAATGATGAGCAGTCAGCACGTACTGTCACTCCGGATGACAAAGAGAAGGAACAGATAAAAGAAGAAGTGAAAGAAGCGGTGAAAGAAGAGGTGAAAGACGAAACGAAAGACCAAATGGTAGAAAATGAGAAAAACGAGGTGAAAGAAGACGTGAAAGACAATGTGCCAGAAGAAGTGAATGAACAAGTGAAAGATGGAGTGAAAACCGAGGCGATGGACGAGGTGAAAAACAAAGTGGAAAACGATGTGAAAGAAGAGGTGAAAGAAGAGGTGAAAGAAGAGGTGAAAGAAGAGGTGAAAGAAGAGGTGAAGGACGATGTAACAAAAGAAGTGCAAGAAGAAGTGAATGATGATGTAACAGAAAAGGAGAAAAACGATGTAAAAGAAGAAATGAAAACTCAGATTAAAGACGAGTTGAAAGAAAAGGTGAAAGATGAAGTAAAGGACAACGCAATTGACGATGTGAAAAGTGATGTTAAAGAAGAGGTGAAAGAAGATGGAGTTGCTGCAGTTGATGAACCGCCAAAAGTTGAAATTGTGTCTCGTTCCAAAAGTCAACCGGACGAGAACGCGACTGATCAATCATTAGCAAAGCCTGAACAATCACCTTCAGACCCTCTGACCACTGTGGACCTTGACGTGAACGTTATAGCACCTCCACCGCCAACTCCAGCCCGTCCCGGATCAGAAGTGGCGGAAATTGTTGAAGCAAATGACAGCATGCTAGAGCCATTTTCATTAATTGACCAGATCAGTGTTTCGAAAGCTGAACAAGATGCTGAAAAAGATGCAGACGATGAGAATGAAACAGAAAGCGGTAAAGACAAAATCGAAAATAAAATTGCAGCGGATGAAGAGGACTTTGCTAAACTTCAGACAAAAGAAGGCAAGTATTGTATTGTTGCTCTAGTTTAGTTTACTAACCAAATTGTTTACATTAGTGACAGAAGTGGAGAAAGAGTTTTCCGGTCCCTCACCCCTTTCTTTGCATCCTGAATCCGAGGCTGAACTCAAGCCACTACCTACCACCACTGAGCATGATCTACCTGGACAGTTGTCGGTGGCAGCTGGCACGTTGACAACCTCAGTCAGCGAAAACTTTAGCCTCCTCGCCAAGGACCTGGACGTTCAGCTGGAGTCCTCCATTTCGGAGGCGGATCTACTCGCCAGTCGTTCGGTGATGATGGCCTCCAGTGAGCAGCAGCCTGAAAGCAGCAGACCTGGTACACTTTCCTCTGAAGGAAATGAGGGGGAAAGCCAGCCATCAACTACTGCAGAGACGCTGCTGGCCACTGAAACGTCTCCAACTGAAATGGCAGCTCTCCGAAAAGACTCAGAGGCAACGCTGGTTGGCGGTGGTTCAGCACTTGGTCTGACGCCTTCTCCTGACGTTGAGCATTCGGAGGAGAAAAGTTCGGAACAGGCGGAACTGGAATTGAAGTCATCAGAACAGTCTAAAGATAAGTTGCCATTTTCTGACATTGAGAGTGCTGAGAAGGTGGGAGAAGTGCAAGAGGAACAGGCGACAATCACTGTTGCAAAGTCGGAAGATACTGAATCAGTTGCTCCAAAAACGTCTCAGTTTGTGGATTTTCAAGTTGATAAAAATGACGTTGCAAATGCTGAGGAAGACACCGAAGTTAAAGATGTGTTGCTTGCATCTAAGGAGAGTACAACTGTCGAAAGTGCACCACATGATGACAATGATGACAAAATTGCCGAAAACTCTAATGTTGCCGAGCAGCAGCTGTTTGAAAGTTCTACAGATATGAAAAGTGAGGATAAAGAGGTTGAAATTAAAGGCATCAGTGAAAAGGAAGGTGCGGTTGTTTCAGAAACAAGCTCTCAAAAAGATGAGATTTCTTTTGCCGAAATGGAAACTAAGTCCAAGACGGAATCTGAATCAAAAGATGACTCAAATGTGTTGTCGCTGGCGCAAGAGTTGATTGATGCTGCTAAAACTGAATTGGTCACGTCGTCGCACAACTCTCCTCTTGATGACCAAATTTTAACAACTGGAGAAAAAAAGAAAATTGAACCTGAAAAGGACATTGAAGTGTCTATCATTGAAGACAAAAATGAACACAAAATTGACGACAAATTGGATAAAAAGGTCTCGCCTGAGTCTGAAACTATTGCTGAAAATGATGCTAATTTAAATGAGATATTAAGCAAAAATGACAAAGTCCAAAAATCGGCTAAAACTGATGCCGATGCCAATATTCAAGAGGCGCCAAATGCTGATGCAATTCCGCCTGAGCTTGACACATCAGTCAAACTATCCGAATCAGAGATTGCAATTGAAACTGAAACAACATCAACTGACAATGCAAAAACGGTCGGTGATATAACAGGTGTTCCAACTAAAACACTAGTCACAGAGGCAGATTTGACTGAAACCGTTGCCAAAATTGAATCCGAATTACCCGACTCTTCAAAAGAGAAGGAAAGTGAAGTAGAATCGCCATTATCCGAAGCAGTAATTTCTACTAAAAAGGCTGTGATCGCTGATGATAAAGCCGCCAATGACTCTACTACTGGTGATGACAACGGTGATACTCAACTTGACAACCGTGATAAGCAAGTGCCCGTCGATGAGGAGTTCATGGAAGACAAGAAAGATATTACTGTGCTACAAAGTAGTGAACTTACCGAGAATGACGCTGAGAATGCTGTGATTGAGCAGGAAGAGCTCAAAAAAGATCTCCAATCAGAAGAAATTTTAAAACCAGTCACTACTACTGGTGATGGTGATAAAATTGCTCAAGAGGAAGAGTTAATTGCAAAAGATTCTACAGTTGATTTTCAAACTGTCGATGATGAAACCACAAAAGTTGACAAAGTGGTTGAAAAAGAAGACGCAACCATTTCTAAAAGTGCTGATCAAGAAAGTGAAAAAGAGGATGAACAACTTTCAGAACCTGCTAAAAAACTTTCAAACGGTGATTACTTTGACAAGGTGGTTGCAGAAAAAGAAACCAGTTTAAGTGAAACTCAAGTTGAAATTGAGGACAAAGATGAAAAACCAGAAAATGGTGCTCCACCTAGGCCAACTTCAGCAGTAACCGAAATGCTAGAAGCAATTCCATCAAAACCTACCGCTGTTTTTTCAACTGACTATTTTGACCGTTTAGTTGAAGAGAAAAAGGTTTCTGAAACACCAATTGGAGCAACAGTTGTGGAAACAGAAAACAAAAATGATCAACAGGATGACGAATCTAATGAAAAAGATAGCTTTCTTGAATTGAGCAACGGAGTTTCAACCACTATTTCAAATAAAACTGAGGAGTCGTTTTCGGAAAATCCACAAATTGAAAAAGAAGTTGTCGTTTCTACTGCTGAGACTCTAACAGAAACAAATGCTGAATCAGTTGAAAAAAATGGTGATTCTGATACTGGTGTTTTGGATCGTTTTCAAGCAGATGACCTGGTGGTCAAGGAGGAAACGCCTCTTACGGCATCAACCTTCGAAACTACTGAAAATGCAATCTCAATTAAAAGCAACGACGACATACTTGAAAAAGATATAAAAAACGAGCAAAAACTACTTGTTGATCAGTTTACCACCAGTGATAAAAAAATTGAAATTTCATTGCCAACTGAAGAGAAAGACGACAAAGGTGTAGTGTCACCTAAAATTGAAAAAGAGTTCAATGTTACAGCTGCTGCAACAACCACTGCTGAATCCACCTTTTTTGCTGATGATGACAACGTTCGTGACATTAATGATCAGAATAATGAGGCATCTTTGACTGGCAAAATTAAAATTGACACTACTTCAGTCACAGAAAAGCAGAAAAATGAATTTGAAACTAATCTTGAAAACGAACCACCAGCTTCACCGATCACTCAAAAAGACGCCCTGGAAAGTAACAATGCTGAAACGACATCCCCACTTTTTGCTGCAAATGTATTGACTGCTGATCTTTCAACTGATTCTCAGTTGATTGAAAATAAAAAAGAAGAGTCCAATAAAGAGGAGGCAGTGTCAACAAGCGCAGTTGTTGACTTTGACCAAAATGCTGCAAAATCTTCAAATGATTTACAAAACGCTACTATCACTGATTCAATCGTCGTTTCTGAACCAATTAAAGATGACAATGACAAAAATGAACGCAAAAACATCATTGAAACTGACAATCAGATAAACGTAGTTGATCAAACACCTTCTGATAGCAAGCTTGAAGAAGATCACCCAATGTTGGCCAGTTCTTTGAATGATAAACTTGAAAATTCATTATCAACAGTTACTTCTGCGACTTCAGTCGCCAAAACTGTACAAGTTGAAAATGAAAACGAAAAAATTGTCAGTTCGGATGTTGATTTTCAACAAGCCGCATCAAACTCAACTGACAAGCTAGCTAAAACTCAAATTTTGGCATCTGTTGATGATCAATTTGAACATGACGATAAATCTAAAAACAAAACCGACACTTCTACAACTCCAGTATCTGAAGCTGTTCAGCAAACTGCAGAAAAGTCACCCGCTGCAGAAACTCTAACGCTTACTTTGCCAAGTGATGACCAACAGCAATCAGATTCATTTAACGAAGTTGTTACTAAGCCTGACTCAGAGAAAGAGGATTCAGTTGTTGCTGCAGATGAGCAAGCACAGCAAGTCAGTTCTCCTTTTGAGATTATTGACGAGTCTCAGATTTTGGAAAACTCACCGCCAGCAACGTCGCCGCTTGTTCAAACTCCGGTCAGCTCAACGTCTGCTGATGACTTGACGCCATCTGTAAAAACTGAACCGGAGTTAGTGCCACAGTCTCCGATCATTACCGAGATTTCATCTGAATCAAGAAAAGAGTCCACTGTTTCACTGGGAGACTTTGATCTTGAGCATCGAGCTACTCAACAAACACTTGATGCTGAAAATATTGCCGTGGACAAACGATCACGAAAATCGGTCGACTTTGCCATGGACAATTCGGGTAAAACGCTAAAAACTGTTGATATGCCTCCTCTGACTCGTCGTTCTGACTCGGATTTTGATCGTGCTTTCCTAGCTTCAGCTGACATTGACCCTGATGATGACTACCCACCGACCAGTGGTGATGAAAGTAATGACGATCTAGTGAAGATTATCACCGCCGAAGCTTCACAGCAACTTTCAAAAGATTCGGATGAAAGTGATTCATTACAAAAGACGCCCACTAGCAAACTGGAGGTCTACTTTACTTCAGACTTGGTTAAGCCACTGGAAAAAGTTGCTGAGGAGACAAAATCAATTGACCACAGTGACGGTTTTAAATTGACTGATATGGATGACATCAAAAGTTCATTTGAGTTTGTTGAGCCGGAGGACATTGGAGATGCTGATGTTGATGAAAATAAAAACCATCTGGTGTCAACACAAAAGTCGTTGTCTGAAGAAAAAGCAGAAATGTTGAAAGAAGCAATTTTTGAAACAGATGACTCTAAACTTCTACAGCCTATTGAGACTGAGCTCAGTGTCCAATCAGTGACAACAGAACCGACTGTTGAAGCTTCAAAACCAGTTGACGATAATGCAGAAAAACTATCAACAGATAGCTTTGCCACTAAAACAGCAATTGACATTTCTAAAAACATTGAATTTGAAAATGAAACTCAACTTACAAACAGCGATGCCAAGTCTAAAACTGAAACTAATAAATTTGACACGACAACTTCAAAATCTGATTTGACTGTCAAAACAGAATCAAATGAACATAACAATGAGTCAAAAAATGTAATTTCGTCAATTGACAACGACAAAACATCTAAACTTTTAAGTGAAATGTCTGGCAAAACTTCCGATGAATCATTAGACACTAAAGCTGAAAAACCTGATTCAGAAAGCATTGAAAAATTTGCTTCATTTTTAGTAGAAAAAGAATCATCAAGTGAAATGATACCATCAACTAAAACTGTTGAGCTAAAAGATGATTCAAAATTATCTTCAAATACTGATCAATTGCTTACTGGTGTCACAGAAAAGAATGGTCAGTATTCAAAACTTGATGTCAAAACAGAAAGTACAGAAAATGCTGGCAAAACAGTCGATTTTATTAAAGACAAAAGCAACAACTTTGAAGGAAACCAATTGGCAGTTGAAAGCGTTTTGCCAATAACTGCAACTGAATCATCAAATGAAAATAAAACAATAACATCAACTACAACAGTAGCAAACACAGTCGCAAGTTTGGAGCAACATTCTTCTAGTGAGTCTTCAACTGATGAACATAGTCAAGTGCAAACCGAGAAACATGTTTCAGTCACAGACAAGACTGCTGAGGATACTGTTGACGCTGGCAAAAAGTTACATGCAGATAATGAACTTTTAAATTTGAGTGAAGTTAAAAATGAGTTTAATAAAACTTCATCTGAACATTCTAACTTAAATGCAGATGAACACAAAAAAGCGAGTAATGCAGAAAATGTTAAAATTGAACAAGTTCAAGAATCAAATCCTTCAAAGGTTTTAGATGAAGTGTCTCCTTCTGATGAAAACTATGATGTTGTTGACAAGTCAATCACTCAAACAAAAACTTCAATCAAATCTGAATTTAAAGCAGTAAGTGTTTCTGAAAATAAGGCTGATGATGACATCGGACCAGTATCGCCTTTGGTCAAAGCTGATTTTACTGCAGAAGTTTTCAGTAAATCAGACGTTGATGATGCAACTGACGATGGGGATTCTCAATCTTCTCATGAAACAGCAAACAAAAAATCGAGTGTCGGCCAACTTGAAATTTTTTCAATAAGCGAAACAAGCATTCCAGATTTACAGTCACTCAATAGTCAAACCGACGTTACAACTACTGACAAAATAGATTCAATCACAATTTCGGAAAGTGATTTAAAAGATAAGGAGAAAAGTACAGAAACTTCAGTCACAGATAAAACAGAAAATCAACAACCGCTTTCTTCAGAAGTAGTTCCATCAACAGTAGACTTGCAAGCACTGCTTGGGATTTGTGATGTCGAGAGCGATGAAAACAAACAGAAACAATCCAGCTCAAAAGACGTGGACAACAGTCATTCGACGATGGCTTCTACAGAAAAGATGTTTCTAAACACAAGTACTCCCACAACTGAAACATTTTCAGATTTGAACAAAGATTTCTTTTTAATGAAAAGCAGTCACACTGAAAATGAGACTATACGAAAGATTCAAGTGAATGAAGTAGATGCGGAAAAAGCTGCGCAAATACTTGCAAAATCTAGTGATCACTTAGTGATGAAACAAGAGGAGCAAACAGCTTTCACAAAAAAACTGCCTATTTCAAAGCCAGAGACAACAGAAATAGTAGAATCGTTTGCAACTATTACTGAAACTGATCGCGCTGATGTCATTTTAAACGAAAAATCTGAAAAAGTTGAAAATATTAGCAGTGCAATTGCGTCAAAAAGCGAAAATGAAAATTCAAATGTAAACGGACACCAAACTTCTGAGATTCCAATCAATGATGTTGAAAATCAATCAAAATTAGATGAAAAACCTCACACTGCTGATGTTTCAGTTGATCTAGAAACATTTCAGTCGTCGGCATCACAATTAAAGCCGTTTGAAGATGATGAAATAGCAGTAAATACTAAAACAAGTCAGGATCATTTTGAATCAATTGTTGAAAAAGGAGAAACTACACCATCTAGCGAATCTTTGATTACAATCACATCCAACAACAAAAATGAAACAGTTGCTGACAAAGTGGAGCTAGAAAAAACTGAAAATGCAGCAGAACTAAAATTAGAGAAAAATGATGAAAGTTCTTCAGCTAAAACAGTGGACATTGTGGACGACTACAAATCAAAAGATAATCAAGCAGATTTGGAACTTTCTTCATTGTCCTCAATTGATCACCAAAAAGATGGTAATCAAACAAATGTTAAAGAAGGAAAAGAAGATATTGAAGAACTTGAGCCAATATCGATTCCAGAACCATATGAAATTGCAACGGCGATCATTGAACTTGTCAACGGCAAAGTAACAGCAATGCAACAAAGCGAAAAGCTGGCAGAAATTAACAGACAAGAAGAGCTGGAAATTATTGAGCAAATTAAAAGCAAATCGAGTGATGTAAAAGAAGTTCTTGCATCTGAAAAAGAAGCTATGCAAAAAGAAAATGCTGGAGAAGAAGTGCTGTTTGAAGTTGATGAAAGCAGCATTACACAAAAGCATCAGGACACTAAACTACAAGGTTTGTCAAAGTAGAATTTATAGTTTTGTTAATTCAGTAGCTAAAATATACTTTATAGAATCTATTCCCATAGGTGTTAACAAATCTGACGACTTGCAAATGTCGCCTGAAACAACTACTAAAGAAGTAAAAGTTGACCAAAAAGAGGCAATTTTTGAGGACAGCAAAGTGACAACAGGACATGACGATATTTCTAAAAACCAGTCTTTTGATAACGTGCAACCAATAGAAGGTTTTAGTGATATTGATTCAGAAACTGCTAATCAAAAATCAGTCTCAACTACTAGACAAGTTTCTTCATCTTCCGCCACAGCTGACAAGTACCGTGTACTAGAGAGCGAAGATGATTTGGGTGAGTGCACAAAAATGTTTTGTTTGTTTATTTAATTTTAATGTTTACTGTTTGCAGACTCTTTTGAAGGACAAAGCGGTCACTACCAGTTGGTGACAGATGAGGTCCTAAAACCTGATGTGACGTTTGACCTCATGCCGCTCACTGCCGAGGTTGTGCATTTACCCGAGTCTGATGTAGAGCTCAGTCTGAAAACGGATGAAGAAGATGGAGCTGAATCACTTAAAACGACTCACTATACTTCAAAGATGACTGTTGATGCTTCAACGTCAGAAAGCAATGATGATGATTTGGTCAAAAATTCTCACAAAGAGCAATTTTCACCTGTTGTGCTAAAAGCAAATGATGTTTCATTGGACGAGAAAGATGGAGATGACATTCGAACATTTCATTTGTCAGTGGCCGAAGTAGACGTAAAAGAAGAGGATAAAAGTAATGAAACGGAACAGTATACGCCTACAAAAAGTGCAGAGTCTCAAGTGTTGAGCGAGCAGGCTACGACAGAAATAGCTTCTACTACTACTGAAAAATTGAGCAAAAGTGAAAATGCTGATGACAATGATAAAGACCAGACCAGTTCTAAAACTGAAGAGATCACTTCTACAAAGCAAATTGACCGCACTTCAACTCAAGTGACCGCCTTTCCAGAAGCAGCAATGAGCGAAACTCGTACAACTTCAAAGCGAGAGCTCACTGAAAGTCGGCATTCAACTGAACTGACTGAGTCTCAGACAGTAGAATCTGCTGATAAAGCTGATAAGCAGTCCGAGGATAAACTTGATACACTGACTTCTCAGCCTCAGCAAACATCGTCAACCACTCTTACCATTACTACCTTTGCTTCCTCTTCTTCGACGCCGACTGCTGCAACGGTTGTGATGTCTGAAAGTACGGCTGAAAATTTGGGAAATATTTCCTCTTCTGGCGGCGGCGGCGGCGGAACACTGACTGAATCCATCAGCACTTCTTCCTCTTCCTACTACGTCGAGCCGCACGGTTCATCAGGACTGCTGATTCAGGGCCGCTCTGGAGAGGACTTTGGCACTGCAGGCGCCGACGACGATCTCTCATCGAACTCCTCATCTTCTCCCTCTTGGGCAGCGGAAGGTGGAGGTGACGAGGAGAAGGTCCACTTTACGCATGAGTTCAGTGGTGGTGGGGGTGACCATCAGTCGACCACTTCAGTCACGCCCACTCTAACTAGGAATATCACTGACGATGACGATGGTCACTTTTTGCCTCATCCACAGGACACTCTGACCACTTCGACCACCACCACCACAACGACTATGAGCTTTGCGCTCAGCGGAAGTAGTGCTTCAAGCGGAGGGGAAACAGAAAAGGCAGAAGCTAAAATGAAAAGTGACGGTCACAGCGAGTTAACTCAGGTTCCTTTAAAGCCTCTCACCTCAACAACAACTCTGATGACAACTATTGACAGCCCGTCGCTGCAAGTGATGACAGGCAACGGAACGAGCACTTCTCACTCGACGACGGTCAGCAACAAAGAAGTTAAGCCTCAGCCAACATCATCCACAGTGGACTTCGATGTGGACCGAGACTGGGGCCGGCCGCTGGGACTGCCCTCACCGGCGCCCCCGCCGTCGCACATGACCGCCAAGCTGCCTCCCCTTCCGCCGAGTGGTGGCGGCGGAGTTCCTCGCAGTCGTCCCCGAACTCCTGACCGTCGCAGCAGCATTGGCAGCAACTCCACCAATGCCACTACCACCACCACTGCAGCAGCCACCACTGGACACACCCAGCACTCCATCACCACCACCAACAGCAGCAGCAGCAGTCACCAGCACCCCGTGTACGTGGAGTTGGCGTACGTGCCCGGCCACGGTCGTCGCGGCTACGTCGATGAGACCTTCTTCCGGCAGGTGCGCGCCCGCTACTACGTCTTCTCCGGCGTGACGCCCTCTCGGGAGGTCTTCGAGGCGCTGCTCACCGCCAAGGCCACCTGGGAGCCCTCCAACCTCTACGTGACGGTCATTCCCACCTACGAGTCAGAGGCGCTGCTCTCGTGGATCGCCGACAACCAGCGCCGCCTGACTGAGCTGCGCATCGATGTGACGCCGGCGGCCAACCGGTGCTCACTTAATCTCGCAGATGGAGGCAGTGCTGGTGGTGGTGGTGGAGGGGAAGGTGAAGAGTCAGTTTGTGCCGCCTACAAGGTCGAACTGTGAAAGGAGGCCTTGAAGCAAAGGTTTAAGGCCTGTAGTATTAGCTTCTTCTTTGTCTGGCCAATGGTCACTAGGCGGTCAATACTGAACAGGTTTGTTGCTTTAACCCNAATCTCGCAGATGGAGGCAGTGCTGGTGGTGGTGGTGGAGGGGAAGGTGAGGAGTCAGCCTGTGCCGCCTACAAGGTCGAACTGTGAAAGGAGACCTTGAAGCAAAGGTTTAAAGCCTGTAGTATTAGCTTCTTCTTTGTCTGGCCAATGGTCACAAGGCGGTCAATACTGAACAGGTTTGTTGCTTTAACCAAAGGGTTGATTTTGTTCTATGATTCTAATAATGTTTTTTGGTTTTTTACAGGACAAAGTTCAGCATCATGACTGTTTTTCAGTTTATTTGGCATCTGATTATTAATTTTTCAATTTGTTGCAAAACATCATTTACATTTTTTTTCTTTTATTAAACACAAATCAGTAGAAATACACGCAATGACACAACTGCACTTGTCAATGTAACTTCTGATTGAATGATTGTAAAACGGATTTGTGATTATGAAAAAATTTCAATTTTTCAGTTTCTGATGGTGCGGCTAAAACTTAAAATGATCATTTTTTAGCTGCAGTAAATAAAAACTGAAAACAAGGAGGTTTTACATAATTGTTTATAAGTTACATAATTCAATCTGTTATTTGCACAACTCAAAACATTAATACACAAAATTTTCCAATAACTTTTTCAAAAACACAATTTACCTAACTTTTATTTTTGGTTAGAAATATTTTATTATGTTTAATATGATTTAGTAGAAAAATGTTTTTAATTATTGTTTAATTTGACTTTAATTTTTTTGATGTGATACTTAAAACACACACAAATACAATTTTAAACTTACAAAAACTTTTTTGGTAAAAAACTGCTAATGATTCTCAAAAAATTTGGACATTATTGATTCAAAAAAACAAGTGATTAAGTTGTAATAAAAATTATAAAAAAATTGTAATTGATGTTTTTTTAAAATAAAAAATTTTAAAGTTAAATATCAAAAGCTACAAAAATGTTTTTGTATTTTTTGTATTAATTTATTAATTATTTATAACAAAAATATAGAAATTTTAGTGTTTAAGTTGAACAAAAAAGTTTAAAAATCATTTTTATTAATTTTTAAAACTACATTTTGTTTATTTAATCCTTTGTTTTTTATCTTTTGATAAAATTTACAAAACTTTTGAATCCACTAAATATCATCACATATATCTCACATTCCAATAACAGATAAAAATGATGCAAAAATTAATAAAAGTTAAGGGTTTATAAACATGTTTCTATAAATTAATACATTTTTTAAACTAGTGAAATGTGCGTTTTTAATTAACCTAACAAATTTTTAAATTTGAAATATTAAAAAACAAAATTTTTTATTGTGACTAGTTTAAAATTTTATTTATTAATTTGCATTTACTTTTTTTAAAACAAATTTTGTTTGTAATTGTTATGTGGTACTAACACCATTGTTTAACATAAAACACGCAAACTTTATTTTATTAGCATTAAACAACAAGTCACAATTTTTGTTACTAAGGGGAATTATTGCTTTAAATGAATGTAGTGGCAAAGTCATGAGACATTCTATTATTTGAGTACTTGAGAGACTGATTAAATATGAACTAGAGATAAAAGTAAAAAGAAGCGTTCTCTAGTAACTGGTTTTATCAATGCCCATATTAGGCAGCGCAACTCTTTTTTTTGTTGAAAACTATACCCTTTTGATTGCTTATAAGTCGATACGATTGCCTCAGTGTTAACGAGTTGTGTGCTTTTGCTGTACACTGTTTAGCGCTATTTAATGTGTGCTGTTCTGCCCTGTTTTACAGCATTCACAGCAAGCAGTTCACAGCAGACAACAGTAGAAAACATAGTACCTCTGTTTGCCCTAAACTGCGACTCCCCTGTGCAAGTAAGTTGTGACTTTGAAGTTGACCTCAACTAAACATTTGAGTTTAAACTATTTCTTATTCTTTATTCAAGTCATTTAATGCGTTTTTTATCCTCAAAAACTACTAAAATTGCTACAACTTAATTCAAATTTGTTTTTTTCTTCAGTTGCCACTACTGTCCTAAAGATTATTACTTTGAACATTTTAAAAATGGCGCTAATTTTTAATTTGTTACTGAAACTTGGTTTCATAATTTTAATCAACTTATTGTTTTCTCAAAGTGAAGAAACCATTGATCATAACGATACAACCAATCATTTTAAAAAGGAAAATTCTTATCAGATATTGAACGTTGTTGAACTATCAGATGGTGAATCTTCTTCTTCAAAATCATTTGCACGCAATTTAAGAAATTGGAATCCAACAATAAATTACTTTATTTTACCTTTGACTGATGAAGTTAAATCAGTGTATGAGAACATAAAAGAGTTTGAGTTCAAAAACTTTTCAATGTCAAACTACCAAACTCTAAAAGCCCACACAGTTTACGTTGGGACAGGAAAACAATCAAAAGCTTTTGATCATGCGATCCGTGTAAGCGACGTCTTGTCAGGTCAAATTGACAGGGCATTACCAATTCACTGGTTCTTAGCAAAAGGCTTCCTACAAGGCATGTTTAAAAGCATTCTTGTGGCACCCTTTTTTGGATGTTCTCAACCTACAGTGTGTGCGTATCGCGAGGCTGCAACCCTTTGGACACACGCAAACCAGACAATGAACGGAAATGATAAAAAGTTAACAAACAAAATTATCGATAAACTCATGGCTGATCCAGAAAACAAAGAACAATTGAAAAATTCTTTTTCAAAAANAAACCAGACAATGAACGGAAATGATAAAAAGTTAACAGACAAAATTATCGGTGAACTCATGGCTGATCCAGAAAACAAAGAACAATTGAAAAATTCTTTTTCTAAAGAATCCTTACAGCTTATTTCTGATGACAACGTGGAACGAGGAATAAGACAAATGTCTATGAAGTTTAGTGTAGAGGTACCAATCGGAACATTCAAAGAAATGTACAAAGACATGGAAAACATTCATCGTCGCTCTGCTTTTCGATGGAGTCCAGAATCTTTTTACTTTTATGAATTTAAAACAAAAGTTTACTCTCAGAACAAAAATGACGGTTCAGTCATCATGCTACCTTTTGAAAAAATTGACTTCAACATTGGTACCAACAAAATTGTGAAAAAGCGTTTAGCTGATGACGCTTTGTATTTTATGGTAAAAATTGTTTTACTTTATGACCGTTATATAAATTTACTTTTATTTTTTAGAAATCAAAACTATCTTTATTTCCATCAATTGTAAAAGTTGCAGAAAAAGGTTAATTTTAAATGTGTCAGTAAAACAATATTTAATTATTTTAATTTTAGATTTAGGACAATATTTGGATCACTTTGTAAATCAAGATGAGCAAGAAAATTCAGAAAACTTGTTGTCTAATTGGCTTGTGAAAATTTACCAAATTGTCAATAATTCAAAATTGGATTTTGTTAAAACTTGCAACTTTGCAAAGGAAGTGGAAATAAAAATCAACATGTTTCAAGCTGCATTTGAACATTACCTGTTTACTGCACTGATTAAAAACAACAAAAAAGCAATGTTTCGCGGAGACAGTGAACCTCAAAACGGTACTATTATGCTAGAAATACCATCATCGTTTCCGTTTGTAAGTTTTATATTTAAATTAAAATTTTATTATTTAGTGA